ATTAATATTTGCCTAAACTAGAAGTGTCCTATGACAAACGCCACCGCTCCCAGCCTACAAATACTCACATATATGCAAAGATGGCTGTATAAAAAAATTGCTAGATCATAGCACAAAAAAGCAATTACTTACCATCCCGATGTGGCTCCAATTGCAATTTGCGTATATGCAGATCTTGAGCTTATATCACCAAGGATACCACCCAGAAACTTTGATGCGTCTTCCGTCATTTTTTCGACTTTTGCGTTACTGGCGTTTTTGTGTGATTTCGACCAATCGCTCATTACTTTTTTATACCTTCGCTCAGAATAGACTAAAGTTAAAATTAATTTTGATTAGCAATTAAAAAATTAAGAAAATATCCAAATGCTTTGTAACATACCAGATAGCAGATATTTCGGATCGAATGCAGAAATTTCGTCTACCGAATTCTTTGCAAAATACCAAAGATTCCTCCGAAATACAATACAAACAATTTTTTTCTATTAATTGATGGGGATGCCAAATTATCGATAAGCAACGATAAATGTGTATGTGATATCATCAAGCTTTTCCAGGTGGAATAAATAGGGGTTAACTAGGGTTGCAACGCGGCAACATCGTTTGCTCGTTTTTTTCATGTAAAATTTATTTATTATCAGGCCAATTATTAATACTCCCGGGGAGTTTGTTCTCTGGGAATTTGTTTCCGTGACTTTAATATAAAAAATCCCCTGGGAATTTTTATTCATGAAAGGAGGAAAGGGAAAAGAGAGTAAACTCCCGGGGAGTTTCTGTTCAGAATCGGCCTGTAACTGTATTTGCAGCACTTTTCCCAGTCTTTAGTTATTTAATATAAAAAAGCTGGTTATAACTATTGGGTGTACATTAGTAAATTAGTTAACGAATGATTGTGAAAATGTTCCTTAATAGTTTTTTTTTTTTTTAATTATGAGGATTACAATTTATGCGCTTAAACAAAAAGTTTATGTTCAATTATTAGCTCTGATCCAGTACTCCATGAACTTACAGGATTTTACACGAACTTGCAGCAAAAATGTTCCCGTACTCAACAATCCTCCAAAATCCTGTAAATGAGAGCGACTTTTGGAGAGTTGTGTAGAGAATGAAGTTGCAAGATTTTACCCGAACTTTTTCTTCTGGTAAAATCATGAAAAGTTTCAAGCAATCACTGGTTGACGTTTTTACAGGAAAAATGGTTTTTTTGTTCCCGTACTTTTTGTTGTTACTCACTTTTTACTCTCACTTCAGAGAGTAATTTTGCTATTTGACAGTTTTACAGGATTTTTCACGAAAAGTATTGGATCAAAGTTACATTGGTATATGACAGAGATGGAAAATTAAAATCCAAATGTACCTAATTTGTAGAAAAATTGTACTTAAAGGTAGATGAATTTTTCCAAAAAGTAAATATGCGTTTTTGTAGGAAAACCTAACGAAATATACCAGTAGACACGAACTTATAACGGTTTTAACTTACGACATTTTCTCAAAAAGGGCCGCGCTTTAGTATTAAAAGAGCACAATGTAGGACGAGTTCCCAGGAAGCTAGGCATAATATTTTGATTGCATCCGGAAAACATTTCCGATCCGTTCCAAAGCGACTAGATTCATTTCCGGCCACCTCAACAATATTGGTCAAAAACTTTTATGTAATCCTTTGTGTTACAACTACAACAACATCCAGTCCCGCCAAGGTTGCTTCTACGTTCTACAAGATGAACCGGAGAAAATTTTACAACTCCAGTGTCAAAGTGCTGTGGCAACGAAAACCCATCACTTATCTTTTTACGCTTGCCATAAATCTGTCTGATAACAAATATATTTGAATTAAATACATTTAAAGAAACAGTACGCAGTTTATTTATTTATTTAGTTTTCACTGTATACACGCAGTTTGCCATTAATATATTATATTTCTTAACCATAGCTACTAAAACATATTTCTTTAGTATAGTTTAATAAGAAACGAGCGCACAAAAATTAACGATTCATAGAAAAAGTGTCAGTTGAATTTCGAAATTTGAAAGTTTCAAGTAAATTTTCATCGATATTCATTTTTGGATAATCTTGATAATTATAAATCTAATATTTGCATAATAGTTTGCTATAAGTTAAAAGAAAAGAAAATGTGTTCCCCGCTAAAGTTGTTACGCTGGTAGTACACAGATTTTACTTATACATATTTTACATACACATTTAGGGTACATAGCATTTGCCACAGAAATCAAATAAAATTACATAAAAAAATTCTAATATTTTAACTTTGTTCCAACAACATCATTTCAATTCGAGTAATACTTGTTTACCGAGACTAAAGTATCATCATTTTTCGAAATGGCATTGAGGATCTAACTACCGTCTACTTCTAGGACAATAATATTAAATAATTCAAATAAAATTGTTTTACCCAAACATAACTATTTCTTGCACTGAAAACTTACGTTAAGTTTAAAGGCCTATTCACACACCCTTCTAGGACGAAAACAACAATGCAACTTATGTAAGTATTTAAAATGATTTATAAATAATGTCGACTTAGTGCTGTAGTAATTAAGTGTATATAATTATGTACATATACATATGCATACTTAGTACATGAGTGGAATACATGTACCTACACTGGTGGTCACGCACAATTTTCAACCAATATTTTAAATGAGGTAGAATTTTGTAAATTAATAAAAAACAATGTTTTTTTAAATATAGTTCATGCTTTAAAGAAATCTATATAATTCAAAGAAACAAACTTTGTACAAAATCAAAGAAATAGTACGTATCAAAGTTTTCATACAAATTTCTAACTTACCAATCAGCCCATTTAATTTTAGTATAATAAAGCGTAAGTTTGAGGTAGCTAAAAATTCTGGTTGATTTTTGATAATTTTGTCCCGCATATAAAAAGAATGCGCTAGAACCGCCAACAAAAAAAAAAATCAAAAAAAAGGAACTTTCGGCCACTTCAAATTTGTACATTGTTATACTAAAATTGAATGGGCTACAAAACTAAACCCCTGAAATTTTCCTAAAAATTTTGATTAAACAGTTTGAAATTTTAATGAATGTTTCTAAAATCTGTACAAAGTTTGAAACTATTATTTAAATAATTATTATTTTTAAAGATTTTTTTATTAATGTAGAAAATTCTACTTCATAAAAAAAGTGGTGGTAAGGTATGCGTGTATGTATAACTTTTTAATTTGAGATGAACACTAAAAGTTTAAAGAATTCTAGATTATCAGCAGTAAGCACTTAAATATGTAACTATATACACTTGTATACTAAAGTAACGATTTTAGCAAAATCAGAATAGAAGTTGTCGCAGAAGACTGAAGAACGCAGCAGCATGGTAGAACCATGCAAAAATAACTAATGCCGGGCTTTAAATGACAAAAATCATAATGACAAGAGTTTTGTTTTGTAATTTCCATGCCAAGTGGAAATTCAGCATGAGGTTTTTGCATATGAATTTCTTAAATTTTGTGCGTACTTATATCTAAGTAGTACATATACCCTAAATATATTATACACCGTATTATTACGTATATATTTATTTAACTACTCGCGGCATGTATTGAACAGATTGATTAAGGCAATATTTTTACAAAAACAAATTGCTTTCAATTTCCAGGGTAAAAGTCACAGTTTTTTCATAGACTTATATAAAATATATTTTTCTTTCAACGAACTTGGCAGTTATTTAGAAAATGTGGTAAACCCTTAACTACATTTTATTTACTTAAAACTTAGATAGCCACGAATCAAATATGCACGAGAGTAGCGCGTCCAAGAATGTAGTAGTTAAGGGATGAAAAATTACGAAACGCTTCACGACGTCTTTGTGGCCCATTTGTTCCGTACAATTTAAATGAAGGGAATTTGATATGCGCAAAATTGATAAAGAGAAAACAATGAATTTTATCATTGAAAGCAATTCTTTGGCGCTTTTGCGAAAACCCTTTGCTGAAAATATGTGAAAATGTAAATCTTGAAATATTGAAATACACGCCGTTTTGTGGCTATATTTTATATATTGATTCTCAGAAAGTATTTTTGTTTTTTTTTTCATGTTCTAATTTATGTGGTTATTTTTACAAAATTTTTTTAATTCTTTAGTATATACATATTTACATTAAGTGCTTTACGATGCAAAGCAATTCGTTTTAAGCATAAATATTAAATTCATAATTTTAGCTTTAAATCCTTAAAAGATACAATAGCCTTATTTAAATTGTAACATGTAAAAATAGTCGGCTAAGCGGTTTTTGGTAATTTCATACTTTTTCAAGCCATTTTCGTATATGCACTGAACTCAGAAAACTATCTCGACTAACGGAGTTAATAAAAGCCTGCCACTATAATGACGTAGGTACCTCATTTATATGTCATGACCAAGCGCTACAACTTTGCATAATTTTGTTTGGTATCATTGTAAACATTGACAAAGTTGTAGCAGGTTCCCCAAAACAATGCTTAAGAGAGTATTTTATGTACATAGGTGAAAACAAAATCGAAATGAAGTTGGATTTTCAAATAAGTATTCTAATGTAATCCTTATTTTTTTTGTTTGTGTACTTGCTGTTTGAATCAAGTTCAAAAAATACATTAGCCACATAAAGGGAAATATCTTCTCCTGAAAACCGTATTTACACTCCGTTTTGATTCAAATTCACTTAATGAGGTATATTTTGTCCTGGAGTCGAGATGAGTCTAAAAACCAGATTAGATTCATATTAAAAGTTTGGAGAGACAGTTAGAAATTGTTTTAAAAAGCATTCGTTTTTTTTGTTTACCAGTGATATTCGATACGTGCAATACCAACGATGAACTAAATACATGAATCAAATCGTCGAAAATTTGACGCCAAGTCAACGTATTAAAATTAGGAATAAGTATGCTAAATTTTCCAAATATTTGCTAGACTAAATTATTTAATACATCGTTGATTCACCAGGACCGTAACAAGTTTTCGTTATTTATAAACAAATTCAGATATCTACTTTTTCATACATCTTACTAGAATTGCTCTCCGGAAAGTTTCAGCATGTGGCGAAACTCTCTGAGTTAGCTAGTTTTAAATATTTTGTTGTACATAATTCTTTGGAAGAATTTTTATTTAGCCTTATTTAGAAAAAATTGTTAAGCAATTTGAAAAATCTCTAACATGTTGTCTGCCATGCATATGTTTCTATACCATTGACACATTGTTTGTAAAGACTTTGGCGTACTTTTGGTACTCAAAAATTAATATGGAGTAAGTCAATCGAGATCCATGCAATACATATGCATTAATATCTATTCAGAAATTACTAGAAACAAAACAAAAACTGGCGTAAGTTATACGTAAGTTTTCTCAAACAACGAACAGTGTATTGCTTTTGAACTAAAGAATATTAACATATCTTTACATACAGAAAATCGTGTACATTTTCCGCGCTTGCCGAGTTTTTTATTTTAAGCTATATTTTTACTCTAAAGCTTTTGGTTAATAAATAAGAAATAAATAGAATCAAAAGAAGAATAGAAACTAGGTCCATTGTTGTTTTATATACATATGCATGTATGTATGTATGTATGGGTGCATTTACAAACATATTTATAAATAGAGCATTATGTAACTGCAACTTAAGTGTGTGATTAGGTCTTGACACTTCAACAATAAGTGCGAATTAGACATAAATTTAAACTAGATTTGTATAAACGAGTAATAAGAATATAATGTTTTAATTTTTTTTTTTTTTTAATATATAAAATTAAGAGGTCAGATCAATTGATATAACACGACTCGGTGAAACTAAAGATAGGCTTCGTGCACGTTCGCGATCCACCAAGTGCGCTTGCTTTGTTGTTGTATTGCTCAAATTTGTGTTGGTATTTGTGGCCAACGCATTCAATTCCGGATACCAATCTGGTGTTATAGTAGGGGTTACATTACTATTGGCTATTTGGTGTTTGACTACAAGCCCTGAAGTGGTGTTGATGGTACCATTTTGTGCATGATTTTCTTGATTCTGATTTCTGAATGATGTATTACCGCCGACGGCGGCGATAGGCGCTGTTGTAATTTCATTATTTGTTGTTGGCACTGCTGAGGTCAATGCGTTAGCAGCATAATTTGAAAATATGTAAACCGATGGCTGCAGTGGTTTAGGTAGCGTTATACCATGATCGGGGGCAGCGAATAGGGCAGCAGTTGGTGTTAATAGTGCATTTATATCAAAAGTGGAAGATTTGCTACTTTCTGTATCTGTAATTGTGGCTACAGTAACGGCAGGTCTTGCTGTTGAGGACGCACTCACCGAGACGCTAGTGGCTGATGATGAGGTCATTCGATTTACGAGTGATGCAGCGGCAGTGGTGGTGGCGCTACGAATCTGTGGCTTGTCTGGCCCTTTGGCTGGTCCATTGCTTCGCGTAGATTTACGTATAGGAATTATAGAAACCTCAGCCGTATTGAGACTTATCTTCTTGCCGCCTGCACAAACTGTTAGAGAACCTTTCGCCAGGCCGCTGTTTGCAGTGGTTGCACCGATGCTGGCGGCGGCAGCAGCACCGGCGGTGGTGGTGGGGCTATTGCTGAGCGTAGTTATAGCTTTGCGAATCATTTCAATGCCTGTTGTTCCTGGATCAGTTCGCCTCTGTACAACAGCATGGGTTTTCTTATCACTACTACCGCCATTGCGATTTTCTTCTTCATCCGATGAACACAAATCAATTGTGTCAACAATGATTTCTGTAGATGGTGACGATATTTTCCAATTGGATCGCCGTGTAGCATCTCGAGTAAGTTTTATATTCAATTTTGTATTTGGTATTGAGCGTCGATTTTTTACATCGTTATCAGTAATTTTCTTTAGCCGCACGGAAATTGGACGGCAGCGTCTTATTAGTGATGAATTTAAGAACAGAAAGTCTTCCGTACGTCTACGTTGTGAAAACTGTCGTCGTGGGAAAACGTATACATGCGAACTATAGTCTTGTGGCTTTTTAAACGTGCAATGCGTATTGGTGAAGGTATGCTTCTTCTCAAAATACTTCGGCTTCGTATGCGATTTCGAGAGCAATGGTGCAAAGCAAAAACGCTCCAAACGTTCCAGACGCTCTGTTAGATATTCTGGGGTCATGGCAGTTTTTGTAGTGCGCAACAGGAGTTGGCCTGCGGGCGACGACAATGGTATTGTGGGGCAACGAGTCAATGAATGTACTGCGCGATTCCTTCTCGGCATGCGCTTATTTCGATCAATGATCATAAATCCGTTTTTCTCATCTTTAGTATCTTTAGACGCTCCTGTCGGTTCGTTTCTGCATGGAACTTTACCATTCTTACTATCTTCGCGACATTGCAGGTTAAAATTAAGTAGGAATCCATTACGTAGCTCGTTATCCTCAGTATCACGTTTTGAATCGTTCGGCTGTGCACTGTTTTCACCCGGTTCAGGTGTATCACATAAAATAACGTCGTCATCGTCATCATCCACATTGCAAGTCTTTTCGTGTTCCTATTGCATGGGGGATTAAAAAATGTTTTGACTTTAGTATTTATGAAATAGAGCATTAGTATCAAATAGCTCCGATCCGCTTTCGAATGGGATGGGACCGGTAATTAGAGCAAAAAAAATATATACATATATGTATGTTATCTCACAAAGTTTAAAAAATACACATAAAGTGAGAACCGCAAGAAACAAAATTTCTTGCCCGGAACAGAGAAATCAGATGATTCACGTGGTTTTGTTGTTGTTACTTAAAATGAAAGAAAAATGATACTACCAGCTGTAACAAACATATCTATGCAATACAATTAAAGGGCATAGATACATATTTGTATGTTTGGTATAACTTACCAAAATAGCTTCTTTCGAATACAGTTCTGCATCGCAATTGTCACACAAATAGATATCGAACGGTGCTGGTTCCACCATTATTTGTTCGACATCTGTTCTGCCTTGATTGCCGCTCTTTGATTTTTGACGCATCAAACATTTTCGACTACGCTGAGGTTGATCGTACGACTAAAAATATATAGAATTTTTGAAGAAATATACCTGCTCAAAAACATTTCGGGAATTCCCTTAAAAGCTAAAAGTGGAAAACTCGAAAACCGAAATTATATTGCACACATCAATGCCAGTTTCGGGCTTTCGACAGTTTCCAAGGCTTTTTGCAGTTTAAGGGAATAAGTCTATTGAATTGCAATCGAAATATACATCGATATATATATTTTTTTTGTCATTTACCATATTTTCATTTCTGAAAGTCACCAACAACTTATTACTGCGTCGTTCAAAGAGTGACGTGGTTGAATTGTAATTGTTAATAAAGCGTAGACTCGCATGCTCATACGCAGCTAAATCATTACAGAAACGAAGTAGAAAAACGCTTCGATGAAATTGATAGCAGATTATAATAATTTCCTTCATTTTTTGCGCCCAATTCTATATGAAGAAAACGATAAAAATTTAGACTAAACAATATTAAACACAATTTATTAGTAGTACCCCAGTGAATTTTTTCGGCTTAATAAAGGGTATGGTAAACGGGAAATCTTCAGGCCACCATTCCGGTTCACTGCAGTCTGTTTTTTCTTGAAAATTTATGTGACCAAGAGAACAGCGCACCATGAATGGTATGAATTTTTCAAGCTGTGATTCTGTTATCTTTTCCAATGATGTTGGATAGCCATTGGCGAATAATAAGGGCAAATTTGAAATCATATTTTGCTGGACTTCCTCTTGCTCATCCATGATTCCCTATGAATAAGATAACACATAACCATTACTATTAAACGATGTCATAAAATGATGATGTTTTAAAACTTTTTTTTTGCTGGACCGAAAGCCCATGCAATTATAATGCCCCAGTAGATAATTTCAGGAGTTAAAAGCCCTCCCGAAAGGCCTTCCACTCTACATTCAATGCTCTTTACTATTTTGTATGGTAAAGGGCTTCTTCTTTCGCTACCCATGGAAGGCCTTCCAGGAGGGCTTTTATAGGACGTACTTCAGAAGGCCTTTTGGAGGAGTTCTTTTAAAGTTGCTTCTTTAATTTATAAAAATCATACATTTTGAAGCATTTGCTTAAGGTTGATATCAAATATGTGTTATTGCAGCTCAAAATGTTTATTCAAATTCATTTATAATTAAATAATATAAATTTATGCATTCGCGTAAATTTCAAATGGAATAGCCCTTCTAGAAGGTATGCATGGAAGCACTTTTTTCAGCCCTTCTTGGGTAGGCCTCTTAGAATGCTTTACTTAAGAAGGCCTACCTAAATTATCTTCTGGGACATTCATTTTGATAAAAACGGAGCTATTTACATGATATGTGTAAGTATTTTCAAACAGATTTTCGTTTCATTTATTAATAAAACCATTAGCACAATAAGATCAAAAGTTTTAGTCTCTTTTGCTTGAAGTACTGCGAAAATGAGTTGGAATAGAGTTCAGTTGAAAAATGCAACGTAATGTAATACTTATTTTTCTTCCTTATTATGACAGTTCTCTGTGGGTCTTTTTGCCTCACCTACATAATGTAATGCTATTCAGGTTAAAATATGATCTGCTGGTATGAAAAAGTTCTCAACTAAAGAACACAATTCTGGGATGACCACCCCAAAGAAGTCTGGGACCGCAGGTCCCAAGTCCTTGGCATAGGATTAAAATCAACCCTATTCGTCGTAAGTCGTTCGCATCGACAGGCGTTCGTTGAATTATGTCGTAAATAAAAACATTAACGACAAATTTTAACACGTTTACAATACTTATTCATTTCGAAAGAATAGGAATAAAAATTTGTAGTAGATTATACGTCATTGGTTGCCTCAACGCCAATCCGCCGATGCCGATGCCGATTCCATAAAAAATTACAAATACATAAAATCAGTTAAAAAACAAAAGAAAACAAATAAATTTAGGAACATAAACTTTCATTTCGTTATGTACTAAAATACACTCTTTTGCACTCAATGCATAAGAACTTACATACTTATAGTGGTCCACAAAATAAAAGAATTGCGATATTTTGACCGGTTTTGGCATTTGGCATTTTTGTTTTGTTTATTTAATGTTTATTTTTTTTTTTTTATAAAAGTCCAGCTGATATACAACAAACACCATATAAATTCAGATTTCAAAATTTGTAAAAAAATTAGAAAAATTCTGCTTACTTGCAGCAAAATTTCAAACTTTTAATCAGATTTTTTATGAAGTGCAAGTTTCAACCTGCTATAAAATCCCGTCAATTTTTGGCATTTTTGTTTTGCAGGCAGTGTCCTCAATATAAAAGAAAATTGTCGAACATAGGCTGACTTCCAAAACGTATCAATACAATGTTTGAAAACTGTTATACTGCAGTATTCAAACTGTTTGTATATGCAGAGTTGCGATACATTGCAACCATATACATTTCATATTTAAAATATTCAATATAGCAATGAACAATTTTTCTGAATTTTCCATATTTAAAACACCAATGCTAACCAATAACAAACGAAGCATCAACTTTGTTTCTGATGCGCTGATTGCTCAAGCGATACGTTTCGATAACTTATCGGCTGCGTTTTGGAACAGTATACATTGTCAATATTTTGTAGTTCGACGTTATGGAACCTTATACTTTGTACGTATACAAAGCAATTGATGCTTTGCAAGTTAGCCATACTTTTGTATGAAAAAAAAACGTGAAACACTTCAACAAAAAAAAAAAGAAGTCGCGCGTAGCACCGTGCTAGGAATGTTAATCCCGGGATCCCGGAAACCCGGTCTTTTTAAGGTCCGGAAAATCCCGGGATTCTTGGCAAGTAATCCCCGAATTTTCGGGATCTGTAATTTGCACTGACAGCAATAATAGAAACTCCTTTTTTTGACCAGTATTGGCTATATTTCTTTTTTTATTTAATAATTAATATTACTGGTTTACAGCAAAAATATTCTATGGATGCCATTATCCAATTCCTATGCAGAATTGCTCGGTGATTTCGAAAATCGCGTTGATTTTTTTTCTATGGATACGTTTTCGAGATATTTTCAATTTACCGTTATTCAGCTCAAAGCAAAAATTGGTTCCTTTTAATCACGATACCGATAACATCCTCGAATTTCGTTCTTCTAACTTTATCAGCTTAAAAATTACCTATTCGTCCTTGTCAATCCAAAATATTTTAATTACTTAAATTCTAAAGAAATTTCCAATTGCATTTAGTACCCATATGTTTATTCTACATTGCATTGATTTTTTTAATAATTTTTAGAATTAATCATACACAAGAAAATACAAAGCCCTTTAAAATAAATCCTGGCGTCAGAGAGAAAAAATAAAAACGCCACTTTAAATAAAAAAGTAGGTTTTAAACCAATTTATTTATTACTAGCAGACCCGGCGAACTTCGTCCCGCCCAAAATTTATATATATTTTATTGAAACTTTTTGGTCCAATATTTTCACCAACAATTCACGTTTACGATTTTCATTGGCACATTTGTCTGCTAAGATTAAGGTTTGGTGGTCATTTGCCGCTTTAAATAACCTAAGGAAAGTGTTATATCCGAATGGGTGCGAATCATTGTTCTACAGAAATGCAATATACATATACTTATTTCAGACGAAATACCTTAAAAGTTTGAACGCACAATAATATTGGAAAATCACATCCATTGGGCCAATTGCAACGCAGGAGCGTTCGATATACTCAATGGTGCAACAGGTCGATTTAATCTGACCTTCACGGCCCCTTTTCTCACTTGGCTATTTTTAGTAATAGCTCGACTTCAGCACCACTTGGCAGCACGTTTTTGCAATAGTATTGCATACATATTTAAAACATTAGCCAAATCGGATCATAAATAAGATTTTTAGTAATAACTCAACTACAGCGCCAACTGTCGGATTAAATTGTGAAACTAAACCATCCAGAGACCCACTCAAATACACAAAAAGTTTCGTTAAAATCCGTACAACCATTTAGGAGGAGATAACTCACACCTACAGAAGAATAAGAATAAAAAAATTCATTCAAAGATAGCTAAAG